TAATTAAAAAATCATCACTTTGGGATTTAACTCATGCATATTAATAATCAATATCCAGCACTATCCAATGTACCGGTACTCACTTATGAGACAGATCTGTAACCAAATTTCGATGTAGACAACGAATGACAATAAAAAATTGTAAAAATTGTAAAAAAAGCTGGGATACATGAAATTTAAGCAAACAATTTTGTTGTTTAGTAAAACACAAGGCTTCATTCCACGATGCACATTTTACTCCAGTTTTACCCCCTTCAGCCTTACTATCAATATTTTTGAGGTTCCAACTAAACAGGAAGCAATGAACCCTACTATCTAGATGTACACGGAAATGAGAGCCCGGTGCTAATCTACTTACTAGATGTTTCATTTCCTTTATAATTCTGTTGTGGGTTGGTGGAGAGAGTTCTGTAGCAGCGCTTTTCTTGTTCCAGGAAACGCTGAGGCCAGTTTCCGAAGACCTGATATCATTCACCCCACGCTCTATCACCAGACATGCAATGTACAAGTGGGACTCTAAATGCTCAACAACAGTGCCCTTTTGATCTCTGTAAATGAATAAAGAGTTTATAAGGGCAGTCTCAAGAGTGCAGTAGAGAATGAGATATCAGTTTCTTCATGACGTCAGTTGTATATTATAGTAGGTGCGGTATTGATCTGCCATATCCAAACCTACTTTGTGCTTGTTGTAATCCCGAAAGATAATAGGTATCAGCATTTCCTGTTGGCGGACACCTTGAAACTCCTGATTGGTGGCAGCGGCGTTTGTACTTTTGTCACCTGAGTGCCATCGAGTTTTAAACTCCTCAGATCTCTCGCCGCCTATGAAATGAATTGTCGTCATAATGGTTACTGGAGCACTGTCCATCCATATCATCAATCTTACCTCATAGTTCACAGTTAATATTTTAGAGTTATATGACATTTTGCCCTTCTTCCCTAAAGCCAGTTCTTTAGGGAAGCTCTTCTGATCCGATCTTACAGTACTATAGCCTCTAATACCTATACGTCTTAATTCCGACAGTAAAGGTACTGTTGTAAAGTAGTTGTCTATGTAGAGATTAAAATGTTTCTTACGGTGTCGAAGAAGGAGCCGTTATGCCAGAGTATGTGCCATACGGGATGTCTTACTGTAATTTGAGCTCAACATGGTAGACTCTATATCAATAGGATCAAAACTCATGATATTTGAGCTAGGATGGAAGTCCCAAACATAACCTTTGCCTGACAGAGCAAAACCCTTGTACCCCATATTGATTGGCTTATTTGGCATTTTGGTTATATGCACTGATCCCCCAGTAAATAATATCATAGGCTCGTACAGAGCGATATTGAATGATGGAACCCTATATGTTTGAGATGACAGCCTGAGCTGATACAAGACAGGATCTACTTTGTGATTCCAAGTAGAGCCCAATGATGGCGTGTATAATGGGGGAGAGATGTGAAAGTAGCGGCAAATTTGTTCAAATTTTTCCTGGCTCATAAAGAGCGTAGTGGAAAAAACATCCCTACTCAAGTATTTACCATCTCTTCTCCAATAATGGGCAGGTAGGATTCCTACACAGTCCATATATATTGTCAAACCCAGCTATATCCAAATATTTGGGGTAGTGGCCCCCTTCTACTTTACATTGCGTCCTTCCTGCATATTATTACTCTCCTCCATTTTCTTTTTAGCATAAAGGTTTGTATTCTCCACCATCAACTCAATAATTTTATCAGTAAAAAATAGATTGAATATCTGGTCTGTAGTGATTGCGGAATCAAGACGGTGTAGATTTATAGGTAGAGGATTATGTGCTTTATGTAGTGGCACCGGATGTACCAAAGTATCAAATGGCCGCGTTTCTTGTAAGGTTGACCTTTGGGGGGTGGGTGGATGTGATTGACTGCTTCTGGGTATTTTTGGCCTAGGTTTCTTTGAGCTCTTATTGTTGAATTTCATTATTGAGCTTTTTCTAGATAGTACTTTAGGATGCTGGGAATTGATTCTCAATATCTGATTCTTGTTACCTGTTGTAGTTGTGGAAATACTTGACTTGGGGGGTGGTCAAGTGAATGTGAGTGATGGCTCCCGGTGGAGGTACAGGTATTAATCATTAAGGTGCTAGAATTGCCCTGAGGGACTCTAGAAAATTCCAAATCAAGGTCTAGGTAGTTCAGATCATTCTTACGTAGTGTCAAAGCTCTGAACTGTATGGTTGTGTTGCTAGTAATTTTTGAAGAAGGCATGGCTCGTTACTATGCAGGATTTGAGGAGAGAGATATTACAGGAACAAACATCATCTCTTAAAACATTTTTATATTCTACTCAGATCATATTAAAGTTTTTTTAATGCTTGCATTATACAATTTGGATCCAAGAGAATTCGCAAACTTTTTCTTCACGGGGTATTTGTAAAGTGGCTGTGCCATGGTTGCCTGCTATCGTGAAAATTCGGATTTTAAATGCCAAATATGTTACGGCAACGGTTCATGGGATAGATTTTCCAAAACGTAGTCTCACAATACAATTACGCGAAAATAAGACCAAAACCTGGGAAAACGCTCAAATCACTGGCACTCTTATATAAGTATTATGAATAAGCAATATAAACGACTTAAAATTGTATGCGTTGCAAAGTTAAAGTATACCAGCAACGAAAAGATCTTATACCTTGATCCGAGGTTATTCCATGGCAACTCGTGAGCAGAAAAACAGGTCAAGGTGTTTATCTCCCCTGGTGTATTGAGTACTTCGTCTAGCTAGAACAACTATAATTTCATATTTCGATATATCTGTTCGTCTATTACCCAGCTATTCAGCGAGTATTTTAGTGTTTTTCGCACATTGCTTGTATTTGTGGAACGCTTATAACAGGTGTAAGTAAATACTTGCCTGGCTAACCGCCTGTATGTTATTAATGAATTAAATATAAAAAGACCTAGGTACCCATGGGTCGAGTGATAAACTATGATCGCATAAAAAGGGAAAGATTCCCAAGATTTTCGCTTTAGGGGGTGTCGTAACCCTAAGGCGCTGCCGAGGATGCCCGCCCCATTGACAACTTGGACGAATCTTGTTTTAATTTATAAGTGTGGCAGGTCTTGGGATGGTTGTGGGTTAGCTCACCCATTCATAACAATTTAGTTATTACGGGGTTGACCGGGCCAGGTCAGCTAAATATTTGCCAACCATGTAAGCTACTTGTCCTCTCCGTCATAGATCTTGGCTAACAGTGAGGCTTCAACTCACCAATTGTGGAGTCTAACGCACTTGGTGAGAATGTGTTGCGCATGTGCGACCTCCGATCCTCCTCCGCATGGGACTCCGCTGTGTCCGTCTTGCTGATTCTATGCTTACTTACAACATCGATAACCCCATCGACCGTGACCCAGGCTCTTTAGACTTTCCCTCACGGAGAATTACCCAACAGGCGACACCATACTGTTCACCCCGACAATTGCACTTGGCTAACTCCGGAAGACATCTCAATTGAGTATTAGACGCCAGACAGCGAACGACCAACTGGACGCAACCAGCCTTGAGCAGAAGGAATGCCTTTCCAGCATCGCATTTTTCATCGAATCGGGAAAGAGTACCTGTAGGCGGCCCTGTATCCCATAAAACCGTCGGTGCATGCTGACGCCCCCTTGTGTGGTATCGGGAGTCACAGCACAATTGGGTAAGAGACCACAAAGACCGCAAAGCTCCTCTTGGCCTAGCCGCATTTCTAGGTCGTTGGGATGCTAAGAAGAATATCACCCATACTCAATGTCTCGTAATGAATAAGTCATTGGGCACGTGGAAAAGAGCGGGCTTTTAAACCAAATCGCAAAATATCTTCTAGTAACCAAGTTAAAAACAGGGGCATACTAGAATCAAAGCCAGGCCCATCCTAGTAGATCTTTACCCCACATTATCTAACTTGCCCTCCGCTGATAGGCTATAGCCCAATCCCACGCTCGGTTGCCTCGGCGGCAATTCACTGGCTCTTGGCAGTGTTATCACTCGATCGTGACAGTTAGTACTGACGGTGTATCCCTCTCTCGGCAGCGTGTTGATTCTCACCTATATATATTTTAGCATTCTAGTTAAATTGGGCAGCGGTCAGGCAGGCGTCAAGGACCACGAATAGGAAACTGGCAGAATAAACTAAAGGGAAACAATTGAGAGTAGGAGTGGGTTGGTTGGTGCAGCACCAGGCTCCGAAGGGCTTGTGCCGATTTGTGACCCACCATAAAAGGTTTAGAGGCTAACATGAAGCATCAGTTGACAGTGCAAGGTTGGCGGCTGACTTAAAAGGCTGGAGTGGTACACCAATTGCAAAATGTGCGGGAACGAACGAAGGATTATCATTAGTAGCCACCAACACCAGCCACCGCCACAACCCTCACATGCTTGTAGACGCCAAACCAAGCCTCCCCACGCACCAACCACTACAACCTTCCCGCTACCAATTTTTTTCTATTCAAAAAAAACTCTAAGAGACCGCCGTAAGTCTATCTCTTCCACTGTTTTCAAGGTACAAATGCTTAGCCATGGTGGACAGCAGTGTTGCTGCATCAACGCCACCTTCCAAATCGCTGTACGTTGACAATCTCGCTAGATCTCGCCGTGAGGCGCTGTGATCTGTATCAACCCCCTGTCCAGGAGTTGCTGCTTGAGACTATTGCTAGGCCTAGGAATTCATGAGTCTAGGATAGTTTAATGGATGGTCTTTACCTCACCTAAAAAGTCTAGGACTGGATCGGAATACGTGATACAGCCCTGGGGGTGCCGCCTCAGTCGGATCTAATTAGAAGCAGCTTTTGATCTTTCAAACATATGGAACTTTTTTAGGTACATATTATGATTGGGGTTTATATTGAATTAGTGGAGTCTAGACACAAGATGTCGATGCAAAATATCGAGATAGTATCACCGGGCCATTTCTAATTGAGGTAAGAAACATCATCACATTTAAATTTATAGTATCAAGGGGGTAACGAAAGACAAGGCAATCAACACACCCCGCTCACAGATGCGGCCAAAACTCGTCCCATCGTACTGTCTTATACGCTCCCACCGGCAGACTTCTCAAGCAAATAAATGTCTCCACGAGAATAAACGCTCTTGCCCCGCAATAAACGATCACAAAAAGCGCTGCCACAAGCAGCGCTACTGCCAATGGGACCTTGGTCACCTCACGGAACTGCTTATTGAACCTCTCAAAAATCTTCTCCCACATCTGAACGCAGCCTCCGACCGCTAAGACGAAGCCAGCTCCCGAGATAAAGACCCCAAGAGCGATCGCACCGAGGAACTCAACATAACACAAAATTCGCAACCTAAGGGCGAGTTTCATTATTTTTCGGTGACCCAGAATGCCGCCGTAGATAACACCGCCCATTGCCCCGAGAGGCGCGGCCGCAATGGGGATAGATAAAGCAGGCAGGAAGACCACAACCGCGATCACCGTTATCATGCTATATAGGATATCAAGCGGGTTCCCAATCTGGGCACCCTTGTATTTGCCGAGATCGCGGGTTATGATGATTTTTACTCCCCATATCGCGGCGCTTCCCAGGCCTGGGACCGCAACGATACAGGCAGAGGCACGCCATAGCCATCGTTCGATGGTAGTAGGAAAGTATGCGTTCCATAGACTGGCATGAATACCTCCATATATAAGGCAAAGCGGTATCAAAACCACCACCAAGGATCTAAACTTGAACCTTCCTGGTAATGTCGTGATATCTTTAATTTCCCAGATTTTCGCGCAGCATTTTAGACCCAATGCTCTCCTAGCATCTGCGCGGATATGACCGTACTCGTCACTGGTGCGCTCAATTTCCTTTTTTCCTTTTTTCACCCGCCTATGTTTTCCCCGCTCAACCTCTGGGGCTATTGATGACTCGACCTTAGGTGCGTCATCACCGGATACACCCTCGGCAGAGGTCGTATGAGCACTAGAAGTGGATGTTTCTGGTTTTCCAAGAACCTCTTTAGGATCCTTGCTCTGCTGTATGAATAAAAGAGAACAAACAGCCTGGTCCTCGAGAAAGATATTAAGTGGTATTGGCATCCCAGCATCGTGAGGCTTCTTCCACCAGCATGCATAGATGGCAATCATACTCATAACGTGTACAATCACATTCAGCTCGATGACCGTTATCGGAAGTCCAGCAGCCTTTCTCAACAGACAATTGGTCATCATCCACGAGGCCTGCGCGCATACCAGCACCTTAGCAAGAATGTCCGACTTCCCCTTGTCTTGAATGTCGACCTTAAGTTCTAGCAGACGTATAGGATCCACCACCCCATTTCTTACAAGGGCCATAAGCCCATAAGCGGATAACGTACGCTCGTAGGCACGGTATTTGAGATGGTCGATGGGCGAAAACGTCAAGCCTCCCATCACAATAAAAAAAGCTATCTCCATAGTGAATGTTGGCGTTTCTTCCTCAGACGGGCTCGTGAACGGCAAGAACTCTATAAACCAACGCCCCAGCCCATGAAGCCATGACGCCTCCCTCGCCTCCGAGATTCTCTGAGCCGAAAGATAGTTCTTGGTCGCTTTATCAAGGGCGGTGAGCTGCTTAAGTATGCGTTTTACACGATCGTTCCCTTCTTGTTTTGTTTCCCGAGTAAAAGGCGCGGGGCTCCTACCACTGTTCGCTTGTTCATCCTTAGACCTAGACATGTTGGCAGACTCCTCAGGGTAGTCGGCGTCCTTGAGCTCCTCAATGTCCCCCATCGCATCTTCTACCTTGTTCCGAATTTCAATTGCCACACGACGTGTTCTGGTTGCCAAAAGGCGTGGCCAGTGAGGCCAGTGTAGCCAGCGTAACCAGTGTGGCCGGTGTAACCAACTTGGCCAGCGTAACCAGCCTGGCCGGTGTAACCAACTTGGCCAGCGTAACCAGCCTAGCCGGGGTAACCAGCGTAGCCAGCGTAGCCAGCGTTTGTCGGGAGTTATACTCTCGCCAGCCTCTACCTTCGTAATCGCGTCCCGCAGAGCCGAGAGAGCCTTTACTCTGGCGTCACTGTCGCTGGGAGAGGGGCGCCGGCCATGAACAAGCACGGAATCCCGCTCCAACAGTTGGTTGGCCTTTTCCACGGCGTTATCCAAGATCTTTTGCGCTGCCTCTCGGTGCAGCCAGGCCCGGAGATTTCGTGCCGTCCTCCATTCGTTGAACGCCTCCGACAAGACAATTTCTGGCGAAAATAGTCCTAGGACTACATAGAGGGCTTTGTACCGCAGACGGTCCATGTACGTGGACCTCGCTATTATGTTTGGGTGAACTGCGGTCCAAACACATAAAGAGAGTGTGATGACGCAGGTGAACATCAAATCCATGGTTCCTCGGCCTCTAGGAGAACTAACATAACTAGGCTCATGCTCGACTAGTTTTATCCTGCCATCATTGACCGGAGCTGCGAGGGCAAGCTGCGCAGCAGCGAGGATGGCGATGGCGGCAGTCCACATCGGACCTGGCGCAGGTTGCGGGTAAGTGGTGTTGCTGCCAAAGGAATCCCAATATATATTGCCAGGCAGAAGAAAGACTTGAGTTAAATCGGACGGACGCTTATTAGACAAATGATGGAGGGAGGAGGAACGTGTGTGAGTTTATCGCTGACGAGCGCTATTTGGGAGGATGGAAAAACGCGTGGTTTTATCTCTGATGGGTGGTATTGGAAAAAGGATACAGGAAGGAGAACGGAAGAATGATTAAGGTAGGACTCGTTAGAATCACCTTCAAAAAAAACCCTCGCTGCACTTCTGGTCTGAAACCTAATGCGCAGACAACACGCGCTCACAACTTGAGCACACTTCGATCCCGGTGAACCCGCATCGAATGTGCGGGGCAGGCCGGTACTCTACTCGTAGCTTCATAGCGTTTCCGAACATGACGAATATTGCATGACATACAAAAAAATGGATTTGGCGCTTTTTTGCATGGTATGCAATAGCAGTCGTGTTCGGAAACGCTATGAAGCTACGAGTAGGTATCGACTTGTCTGGCAGACCTGATGTGGTGAGTAAATGCACTTACAGTCGCAACTCGATATGCCAAAACTCAACATGTCGGATCCCTTGCTATCCCGGATGGATTTGGCTGATACTCTCATTCCTCACCAAAATTAATCTGCTATCCCGGATTTTGGCCTTCTCGTACCGTATGGGAAACTGGCCAACTCTCTGACCCACTTGAGGGCTGACGATTCTGCAGTGTATTTCTGATAAAGTGACATGTCAGCTGCAATGATAGGGCATGCTTGGCTTCATGGGTTTCCCTTCTGCTTTGAAAATGAAGATGGCACTGAAAGACTCTATTAACGAATGTAGAGTAATCCTTATCTTCTTCTGGCGTTGTCTTACATGAAGCCAAGTTTTCCTCGCCTATATGAGCCATACATACCTCTCTAAGCTCGCCGATTACTCTACTCCGGAGTCTTTTAGCTTCAAGGGACAGGAGGTCGAGCGGGTTGAACAGAAAGTTCTGCACCTCTCTGTTCAACTCTCAGCCGCTACTCGCGCAGTAAACAAATTCTATTGCACACTCCGAAATCATGATGGAAGATCTACACTGAGCTACCGTCGTTCACAGGCATTTGGCGAATAACGCATTGACGAATTTTTATGTAGCAATCAGTGAACCAGAGTTTATCTCCTATTAGTCAAAGGGTGCACTTATTCGCCAAATGCCTGTGAACGACCTTTACTCTATCACACGACGCTTAGGCCCAGGAATTTAAGAATATGCCGGGATCTAGTCCTTTCCAAAGTGACGAATATCACTGTGCGGTTCTCCACCCTGTTCATGATTCTGAGTCCTGGCCAATGCAGCTCCTGGCTATTAGCACTCCCAAACCCAGGATCCTTGACCACGCTAACCTGGAAATCACGAGTCACCGTGCACACTCCTATGGTTGGGCTCAGGATCAGCCGCCCAACTGTAGGTTGTAGGTACATACCACTTGAGTTAAGCTTAGCCTGTAAGCCTGCGCGGTGCATGGTCATTTGTTAGCTGCGATCGATCGGCAGCACGGCTGATGCACAGGCAATTTCAAAATCTGCAAGGAAAGGTGTCACGCTAGCTATCGCCTAGGAGACGAAAGTTGTCAAACTAGCGACCTGGACCGTGCACAACTTAGTAAGGAGTTACCTTGCTTTTTACAGTGCGCACATCTTCTTCTACTATGTACTGGAATATGATTCTTCTGAGAATGAAGCAACCTGATTGGTCGAGAGTGACAGGGTATTTAGTAAGCACGACACATCAATATTTGAGCATGAAACTGAGAATATTTGAGCATGGAATCGCGAATATCTGAGCATGGAATTGAGAATATTTGGGCATGGGAGTGTAAATATTTGAGCATGACACTAAGAATACTTGAGCATGAGAGTGCACCGTTGAGTCTTTATCTTTGTATAATAATATTAAAAAGCTTTATGATTAAATAGTGATATGATATGATATAACTGAGAGTAGGAGTTGGTAGACAAGGTGGACAGTTTGTGGGAGGAGGAGCTGGAAGGGGAGTGGGAGCTGTAGCGGGAGGGGGAGCTGGAGCTGGAGCTGGAGCGGGATTGGGGAGGGGGAGGGGGAAGGGGAGAGAGGGGAGGGGGAGAAGGGAGAGTTGGAGCGGGGAGAGCTGGAGCGGGAGGGGGAGCTGTAGGGAGGTGGAAAGGATGGATTGGGGATTGGAAAAGCAGGGGGCAGGGTGGAAGGAGTTCCCTCTAAATACACACTGTATATTTACTTAATCATGATGGGTACTCATAATCCAACAACTCGCGGTCGCGAGGTGGGACACCCCTAGTATTTATGTACTAGGGTATAGCGAAAAGTGATCAGAATCTGATAAGAAAAATAAACGTATTCACCGCAACATTCACTTATCAGATTCTGATCACTTACCCTCAACACCCGGTACAGTGATCGGAATGATCTGTGGAAAACCAGGGGGGTAAAATTGTATAGCGAAATATCTGTGCACCATATAACTGATTTTTCCACTGATCCTTCCTATCGCTGTATATACCTACGCTGCATAGCAACTACAGAGCCAGGAATAATCACCACAAAAGGCTAGTGGTAGGTGAAGGAGCGAATTCGCCCGAGAGATACAAGGATTTAGGTTCACTTGCGATCGCCTAGTAGGCTGAAACATGCTCGCGATCTATTAACCTGCATATAATTGCAACAAAGCCACTCTAGCCAGGAGAAAATCTACATCTCGCCTCACTTTGAGATGCGTCTATGACAGTTATGGTTGGGGACACCTTGAGCCGGAGTGCCAAAGTTGCCGAACTTCGAGTCCCAATGGCCAACCACCACAATACATTAAAATTAAAATAGCTCTGTAGGGTGGTAGAGAAGGAGATAGATAATACTGTAACAGAACCCAATTAATTTTATCTGTTATGGTTGTTGAGCTATTGAATTTTTAAAAGTTGAGTTTTTGGTGAGAGGTTGACCGAATGTCTTACTTCCACACCAATAATTACCCGATTAGGAAGTACTTTAATACATAATTACCCGATTAGGAACATATCACCGGTGGCTGACCAATAGCTTGGCATAAATCTGCTGTCGTGGCATTTTTGGAGCGATTTCGTGCTAAGTTATTACTAGATTAGAAAGGTGATCTTCATTGGGGACCAATGTCGCACCCTTCCATCTCTAGATGTCCCCAACCATACTCCGTACTGTTGTCGTTATGAGAAAGCGTGTTCAATTCACTCGGGCTCTATTCTAACTGGCGCGGAGTTCTCCTAGCCACTCACCCTATTCGGTAACTATTCGTCAAAATAACTGCGTCTCATATACACACCTCGGCATGGGCTCAATCCACCAAGGAGATTGAGGGAGGTTGGCTCACATGACTATGGGCAAAGCCACACTTTGCCACGACAGTTGGATCTCTATGCGATTATTATTACATTACGATGCCGGTCGTGAGCATGAGGTGCAATGACAACGGCAACGGCAACGCCCGCACGCAACAACATTATCATGGTGATGATGACATTGCACGATGCCAAACCAGAAATAATCCTACCTGAAGACTGCAACACAGATGGGAGGGAGTGGAGCCTTCTACTCAATGATTACTAAACTCCTCAAAGTATCAAAGTCAACCCTTGCCAGTCCCATGACAATGTATGCGAAAACTGTTCAAGTTAAATCCATACCGAGACATGAGAGATCCAAAAGAACTACTGCAAGAGATGATAGACAGCTTTTTATCTCTAGTAGGTGAGAGAGGGAAATCCCACATGATCAACACTGTGTAATGGGAGCCGACTTTCTATACATCGCTACAATCTAATAGAATAGTTGCGGCCATGCAAGGTAGAAATCAAGTTGCAGATTATTCAAAGATACTATTGCTAGAATTCAATAATCTTTTAGTGCTCTGCTATTGAGTAGAATACTTAATAACTCTCTGAAAACTCGAGAAAATCAGACAGGTGAGCGGGAAAGGTCCTGGGTGCTAATACTCCAGAGGAATTGATTATCTAATCCTAATTCCTTACTAAAATCCGTCGATGCCTCCTGTCCGAATGGAAGCATTATTATCGCTACTCCACTTCTCACCCACCATTAGCGGGTGCTTCTGGTTCTGAAGCCAACCACGTTTAGTAAAAGGGTTTGTTGTATCAGCTACAGCGTTGGTTGTCACACAACCAGAGAGCTGCATGCATGAGCTGCCGCTCAGTTCCAAGCTTAATCATTGTTGTGGAGCTCCAGATTATTGTAGTCTTCCTACACCAGCAAAAAACGGGTTTCGCCAGGATGAATCCGCGTGCTCAGATGCCCAAATTGGTCATACACACCTAAAACCTCATCTATTACTCACAAAACCTCGCCCTGGTGCAACCAAAATGTGATTGAATTTGTTTTCTCTAACACTTTTTTCTTTTTGGAACTGTTCGTTGCAATCGTGTCCAGTTCGTTCGTGATCATGTTCAAGTTTGTTCGTATCACGGGGTCTCTAGGGGAAGGACTATAATGCCAAGGAATACTACCGAGGCGAGAATAGAATGCGAAGATATTCAGAACTACAGACTATGAGATGGGTTGACTTGATCAAGAATCAAGGTGAACCCTATGACGTGATGTAGAACAAAGTTATTTTCGTGGCGTAAAGTGCAGTGCTTGCGTGAAGAGAAAAGAAAAGTAAAGGAAACAAGAAATAGCACAAGACAACACCCCTTTATATATCCAATACCCTTGTCCAATGATGACTCATACTCCTACGTAATAGAAACCGAAAAACATAGTAGAAATCCCCATTACAAATCCTGATCCCACTGCGCAATACCTCCTCCCCAAGTCCCAACTTATCTCTTAGCCAAAGTACTTAACTGCCGTTACAGTTCGTGATCGTGATCGTATGAATTGTAACCATTAATTTCTTGATCGGTTCGTTGCCGATAGTTGTACTTGTTGAAATATAATGTTTTAGTTTGAG